TCATTGTTTAATCTTACTTAATTATTAAGCATGATCTATTCCACATTTTCTTATTTAAATTCTACGGGAGTACCTATAGGATAAGCTCTACAACTTTAGTTATGTTGTTATTTCAGCTTAAGTATAAAAATAAACCTTATTACATGAATTTTCTTAAAACTAAATATATCGTCATAATTTAATGTCTTGCCAGTTAGAAAAGAATCATATTAGAATAATTATTAGCAATCAATCTAAGGTCACGAATGCTCAAAATACCTAGTAAGATTGATAGGTTCCTTTAATCTCCCCATTTTGTATAATGAATAGCAAGCTACTCATGCTAAGTATAAGCGATGAAATTAATTCTCAGAGTAATATACACATTTTCAATTTTAACTATTTCAACGCTTGAATTCTGTGTACGTTTCTGACAAAAGGTGTCATCAAATTGTGCAAATTTCATTACCATAATTAATAAATAATCTAAGCGAACTTGTAATATATGATTAAAATAGAAATAAGACTCTTTATAAACTTCTTGGAAGCAGGCCGTTATGGAGTTTAGCTTAGAAGGCTATCCTTTCAAATGATAAGTGAAAACATAAAAAATATTTCTCCGGATTTGAGAATAATGCTTTCATGAGCAGCAAAGCTCGAGAACCAATTAACAATACAAATGCTAGGTAGACCGAAGGATTCATCTTGTGATCATTACTCTGAAGCATTTTCTCGGTACATCATTTTTTCTCATTTTATCAACAATTACATAATAAATACAATGCCTTGGCTTCATTATTGAGCTCATGAGAAATTTCACTTATTTAAGCGATCTGATTTGTAAAAGAATACAAAAGTTTACATACATTGCTTGCATAATTTCTATAGATAGATTTCTTTATAGAGTATATGAACAAAAACAGAGATCATACTTTTAAGATTATCGGTGTCGACCATCCATTTTCGATTAGATTTGGTCTCGTCAGCACCTGTCTCCCAATAAACTTGAAGAGAACAGTTCATTGAGCCCACGTTAAATTTGGTAGCGGTAGATTCTTCTGATGGATTTAAAGATTCTGAAAAAGTGTTAAATGAAACAGCAGCATAACCGATTCCAGGAGAGTAGTGAACCGGTGGACTACCTTCGATTGCCTTCTCGGTGGAGGTAAAGTTTGCTGGAATTAGAAGCTGAAAATGACATTTTTAATTAATTGCTGAATAATCAAGAAAAGTGAAAATCATAAAAATATTTTTTCTAAAACAGTTAGGTAGTTCATTAGATTTTTTTTCTAAATAATGAAGTTTCATCCTGTATGGAAGAAAGAAAAAGCGATATAAGGGACAGACGAATTTTATTTTTCAAAGTTCTTTTCAAAAGCTCGGAAAGTCTACACAAAATATACCTTTGATTACCAATGAAGGTTGCGAAGGTCAGCGGAGAGTGGCCTGCTTAGCTTTGCAAGTTTTGCTTGCCCCCGCACTTACCGACATTAATGAAAAAGTAATCTAATGCTGGCATAGCGCGTTCTGTTTTCGACTTCCACTAAACAAAATGGGTTGCCCTGAGCGAAACTGAAGCTTAATCTTGATTCTGGTGTACCAATCATCTCGATTTTTTTAAAACAGGTAAAAGACATACGTAATTTGGGCTTATCGGAAACCAAAAGATTGTGGCCTGAATCAGGAGTATCGTATACACACAGCACATATGTATCGACAAACCTAAAACAAGTGTCAGCACTACAGCAAACTACTCTAGTGTATTTGCATAAGCTAACAGCTGTGATCACATCCGCTGCCCTTTTCAGGCACCAGCTTCACTTGTCTTCATGTTTGTAGGCTAGGCATTGAGTAGTCAATGATTGCTATGATTGCAAAATTGGGATTAGCATTTTCAGTAAATTTTTGTAAGTGAATTCTTCTAATTCCGTCAATTACTGTCACATGATGGCCGATCACCATGCCAGATTCGCGGGAAGGTGAGTTTAGATTTCCATCCTGCAATACAGCAGGATAAAGCCCGATAAAGCCAAGTCATGAATCTCTTACATCCTCCTTTTCAAGTGCAATGAAGGATATACCAGCATTAGTTTATTGAAAGATAAAAGTTCCTTTTTAGGTTAAGGAAAAATCCAAATGAATGGCAGAATAAAGCCTTCTACTTGAACCTTTGCGAATGGTTTTACTATCAGGGCTTAAGGCAACGATGCGTTTTCTAAGCTATATTATAAGTTGGATGTGATTTATATAATCTAGCATCAGATGGTTTATTTTATTATAAATTCATTATTTGTATTCTTTTTGACAAATTTTAAGCTTGCCTTGTGACTAACAAATTCATATCATTGTGGGAAAATTCTACTACCAGTCCCTCATCACCTTACACGAAATAGGGTGAATACATCTCATTATATTTTTTATGTTTTATGAAGCAATCCTAGCATCAAGCAACGGAATAATCGAAGCAAAAGATGATACACACCGAATCAAAGGGTGGATGAACATTTCACAGATTGATATCAATAAAAGTATACATTATTAAAAGAATTATTATGCATAAGTAAAAAAATAAAGTATTCAAATAGCATTAACCGACCCGATAATAAATAAAATATTTAACTTGAAAATTATAGAATTGTAAGAATCTCAAAGAAATAAGGCATATAGTTAAGAGGCTCAAATCATTGTGATATAAAGAAGTTCAGATCCAGGCATTATTATGTATAACAAACTTAGAAAATAGCATAATAAGCTGTATAATTAAATGGGTGAAGCTGATTGCCATAAGAAGAATAACTCCAATTTATCAATGCGCTTACCTGCTTGAGCTGACAGGTAAACAAACCGCTGAGTCTATGAGCAGGCGAAATAGTCATTTTTCTTCCAAAGCAGTCTTCGACACATGTAATCGAGGAGAAATAATCCTGATATAAGGAAATTTTGAAAAATCAAAATTCGTGAAGAATAAAACTTAGATTGAATG